TATAAACACATCCCAAAGCTGCTCTATTGGATTGAGCTCTGGTGACTGTGGAGGCCATTTGAGTACCAGTCTGAGATGATTGAGCTTTATGACATGGTGCGTTATTCTGCTGGAAGTAGCCACCATCAGAAGATGGAGACACTGTGCTCATAAAGAAAACGACATGCTGAGCAGCAATACTCAGGTAGGCTGTGGCGTTGACACGATGCTCAATTGGTACTAATGAGCCCAAAATGTGCCAAGAAAATCTCCCCCACACCATTACACCACCACCACCAGCCTGAACTGTTGACACAAGGCAGGATGGATCCATGCTTTCATGTTGTTGATGCCAAATTCTGACCTGACCATCCGAATGTGTCAGCAGAAATGGAGACTCATCAGAGCAGGCAACTTTTCTCCAATCTTCTATTGTCCAGTTTTGGTGAGCCTGTGTGAATTGTAGCCTCAGTTTCCTGTTCTTAGCTGACAGGAGCGGCACCCGATGTGGTCTTCTGCTGCTGTAGCCCATCCGCCTCAAGGTTGGCCGTGTTGTGTGTTCAAAGATGCTCTTCTGCAGACCTTGGTTGTATCGAGTGCTTATTTGAGTTACTTTTGCCTTTCTATCAGCTGGAACCGGTCTGGCCATTCTCCTCTGACCTCTGGCATCAACAAGGCATTTGCGCCCACAGAACTGCCGCTCACTGGATATTTCCTCTTTGTTGGAGCATTCTCTGTAAACCCTAGAGATGGTTGTGCATGAAAATCCCAGTAGATCATGAAGGAATAAAATCACAGTCTAATGCTTCTTTTGAATTATATACATGTGCTCATGCTTATTTTGCATATGTATATGTGTTTGCTTGAACCATGATAATCTAATGAGTCCACGCAGTGATATGATGAGACATTCTGTTTGACCTTAGAATGAGACAGGAACTTTCCACCCCTATAATGTCAAATAACTAAATCTGTAACAAACAAGTCTTGCAGAAAGTCCCTGTCTGGGTTGCAGCTGTGACGTGTGACTTTTCTACACAGAAAAGAGAACTGGAGCAGATGAGGAAAATATTGCTTTATTGTCTGACTAATCACTCTTTTCTTTTGATATATTTTTGCTATTGGAGGAATATACTCCCATTTGCCTCACTATTCATTATTTACAATATGTGTTTTGTCAGATATGATGATGTCTCCTGATATAGCGTACTTCTACTTAACCCCTGTTATAATGCGTTTCTAACTAACTGCTAAAACCACAAGAGCTGTGTGTGGGTGCTGGCTGGAGACAGATCTGCAAAAGGGCTTCCCCTAGATGGGTGCATACACAGGTCAAGAGTTCATAGACAGGACTAGGAGGAAAAGCAGATGTGGGTAGATGCAGCATTTGTATACTGCTCTCTGTGTATGCGTGATGTATGATGCTTTAATAAAATTGATATTATCCTGATAATTCTATAAGGAAGTTATGATGCTCAGCTGTGCTTTGATGATTTTTTGCTACAGTTGCTTGCTGCACCCCAGATGTCAGTAGTGTCAAGTATGTCAAGGAGAAGTGATACTTTCACCTGCCCTTTTGTTTCTGTGTGCAGAGGTATCTCTGTGTGCAGACCACAGACTTTTGAGAGATGATTCTGCCTGAAAACAGCTGATGGCAACAATAGAGATTGGGGGTAACTGATCAGAGGAGTGGCCAAAAAGATTGAACGCTGCTGATGGATAAAAGGAGGGAGTCGAGAGAGTTCGAGAGCTTTTGGACATCCAGACTGCTTGGCTGACGGTTCTTCAAAAGCCCAGGATCCTGATCTTCGCTTTATTCACTTATGCTCGATAAATAAATTCATTGATTTTGATTAATTGACTCCTGACCGATTATTGAATTGGGGTGGACTAAGGCAAGTGAGAAATAGTCCAACAATCAGCAGATCTGAAATACTTAGAGCAGCCCATCTGGCAGCAACAACCATGCTGCCATGTGATTGGCTGATTAGAAATTTGAGTTAACGAGCAGTTGGACAGGTGTACCTAATAAAGTGGCCGGTAAGCATATAATATAAATCAACCGTTTGCATGATAAGATAGCTAAAATTTACACATTCATTCCTTCTCTCTTTTTGGTCAGGTTATGTTCATCCCCGTTATAAACTCTAGGGGTGAGTCATCTAAAGTGTGAATATTTAAGCGTGCAGTAGTGAATTAATCATTTTCATTCTGTACGATTAGCTAGTCTGTATAAGAATGTTTCATTGATCACACATGAATATGGTCATGGATTGATGTTTACGCTCATTTCTGCGCTCGTTTCTACATCGCATTAATTAATGAGGCCCGTTGTGTTTGCATCTCTGTCTCTCTGTTCTGGGGATTTTATTTTTGTAATATCGTCACATTAGAATTATAAGGTTCTATCTAGGGCTGGGCGATATGGCAAATATAAAAATCTAGGTTTTTTATAAAGTTTGACCGATTCACGATTCATGATTTAGATTTTTTTTATTGTGTAACTAGTCAACCTAAAACATTACAATAACATGACTGAAGTAGCATTCTCTTTATAAGTAACTGGAAACACCATCTGGTTAAGGAACATTGTATTTTTTATGGCCATGCATAAATTGGTCAACAAGGTGTAAATAAATGTAAAACAAATTCACGAGTTAAATATTGTTGCAGAAGATTTGAATAAAAATCTTGTGTAAATATTGCAGTTGTGGGAATACAGAGGTATTTTTTGCAAGTTTTGGTGAGCTTGGGAAAGATTGGCGGTCAGTTTGGCTTTGACATTAGCCCCTTTCACACTGTGATACCGTGTTTGTAAACATTTGACTACATTACAAACTCTTTGGATGGATCAGTATTGAGTACAACTCCAATGAAAACATATAGAGCAACACTTTCGCATGTCGAGATGTTCATGATATGTGTGTGTGCTGGCGCTATGGGCGCTCACAGACACACACAAAGCTTGAAGGTAAACAAACAACGGATTATCATAAACATTTTATCGATAATTATTTACACAGTTAGCATTAAGAAGAAACATAGAAACGTTATCTGACTAACATCTAGCAGCTAAAGGTGTCTGGAAAAATATTCAAAGGCTTTAATTCTCATAAACTGTGCGCACGTGAATGCGTCTGACTGTTCAGATTGGCTAAAGCAGGTGTCTCACGTCAGCAGGTTCTAGACGTGCACGCACTCTTTCCGACAATCTTCCTTCTGCATTCACACAGCGCAGCATTCCGGCAAATTACTGGTAATGTTACAACTTCTCTTTCCGGAAAATAGCCAGAACGAATTTACCGGTATTTTCAAAAAGGGTCTGTTCACACATACAACCTTTCCGGAAAATTGCCTGTAATTTTCCGGAAAGGTCTGTATGTGTGAAAGGGGCTTTTGTCTTCTTCTGATTGAATGACAGGTTGTAATGCTGTTGCCTTTTTCTTAAAAAAGATACTGTAGAAAAAAAGAACTGAACATAAAAACTAAAGCCTAATTTAACCCAATGTGTGAAGTTGTGGACGTATAGCAGGAGCAAATACAAGCACCAGATGTGTGTCTAATATAAAATAATATATTTAATCTATTTTTCTTCTTTCTCCCTTTTAAATACCGATCATTTGATGCGCTTTGCTCCACTCTCTGTATTATGCTGCCTGACTGCATGTCTGGGTTTCAACTAGGTCCGCTAAATAAGGTCATGGGGGCGGGTACTTTCACTGCTACAACTGCTTACCTCTGCTCGTGTTCAAACCAAAAGAACAGTGCTGTTCGAACTAAGATCGGTGCGGTTTTTCACATGTCAGGTTTTTACATCCTTCGTACATGTTGAGATTGAGTTGATTGACTTGATGAGGGAATATGTCTTGACAATCCACACAGACGTGACTTAATGAAGCGTGAAGTCATGAAAGGTTTTACTTTTTGCATTAGTCTGATTGTAAATCCCCTCGCAGTGGTGGAGTAGCGTGAGAGAGTGGACCAAAGCCCATTTGATGCAAAGGGTATTAACAAAACAAAAATACACAACTGAAGACACTTAAATGCTTGTATTTGTTGTATTTGCACCAGCTCTGCGATGCATGCCCACAACTTCATGCATTGGGTTAAATTAATAAATTGGGTTAAATAAATGATTTGATTTGGCTGTCCAGTCTCTGTGTTCAATCCATCACTACCATGATTGAAACCCAGACAGTCAGTCAAGCAGGTCACGACACGGAGCACACATGACAGTTTAAAGAATCACACACCAGACGCGCACATTCGCATGATATTTGACATGAAACTGAAACTAATCAGATGGCGCTCTGTGGCTCGGATGAAATATGAACTGCGTCCTGAGTCGTAGCTGGGCGCCCTGAATTGCGGCGCCGGTGTGTGTTCCCTGATAGAAAACTGTGTTAAGAATTCTAAAATACATGGTGCTGCACGTTGCTGAGCGGTGCTTCTTGTGTGCGACCTGCTGCATACAGAGAGTGAACCAAAGCGCTTTGGTGCAATTATAATGTATCTAATATTTTTATGAAAAAAAATCACGATACCTCGATTAAATATAAAATTAAATAGTCTTAAAACATAAATTTGATTTAATAAAAAAATAATAATAATCGCCCAGCCCTAGTTCTATCTGACATTTTTGTTAACTTAAAATTAAAGGACAACTTATTTACATTATGTGATGTTTTTTATAAGTCATTGACATTTTAAGACTTTATTTAAAAAAAAAAACAAATGTCACACACAAACTGTTTACTATGGAATGCAAAAACTTTAAAGCTCAATTTGTCAAAATCGTTCAGAACGCAGAGAGAACCTTATAACTCCAGGGTGACGATTTGTCTGCCATCTTGTTAATTGGATTTTTCTGTGTTTGCTTTGATCTTCACCTTGTCTTTGGGATTTTTTTTTTTAATAGATGCTGAAGATCAAGCCTTTAAAGCATTGTGTAAATATAATAAAATGTTCTAACAAATCCTAAAACAGTCCATGAGTGAGCAATATTGTACAACACAACATACCTTTGGACTGATGATGGTGTTTTCTCTCTGAAGTCTGGTGGTTCACCTTTTGACTGGTCACTCTTCAGAGACACAGAGCTGGACACACATGATCCTGATCTCACACTGAACACACAAACACACCAGAGGAATAAACTGCAGGACAAACCTCAGTCTCCTTTACAATTGATTATCAGACAAATATGAGTTTGTTCAGTTTAATTCAGCACTAATAGTTGACTGAAGATCTGTCTGATCAGGTCACCAGATGGAGCTGTCTGTAATCTAGAATGATCTAAACACATTTGCTGAAGCTGTAAACTGAAGCTTTGTCCATCATTTGATCAGGCAATAGCAACACAAATAAGTGCATTGTTGTTGGTCTTTGTTCTTCAGAGAAAGTGTTGAAATAATGGTGTAAAAACAGAGTCAATACCTGTGTTTCTCTGAGAGAGAGTCCTTTACTCGCTCCTCTGCCATACTGCAGCTAAAACACCAATGCAGACATTAGCAGAGCTTTGAGGAAACAAATTCCACTGCTAGTGTACATACAGTCATAAGAAACTAAATAGCTTTTTGATCGACTACTGCAAGCTGGGAAAACATCAGATAAATATGCCAATGCAATTAACATTATTGCTGAACAGATCTAATATTTACACATTTGCTTGAGGCAAAAATGATGGGGACAGTTAATGCAGTTTAAAAATCATCCGCATTCTTCCTGTTTACGGAAGCTCTGCTTTCACTTTAGATTTCCTGACTGTTTAACGTTTATTTTGTGCTGAATGATGTGAAATTATCGAGTCAACCTGATATAGAAGAGCACAAACACTTTCAAGAGATAAAAATAACCCATTATATTGTTAAAATGACCGTGTTTGGACGTGTTTAATCGGTGTTTGAGGCGTTGAGCTTCAGGAGCAGACAGTGCTATAAATCACGCTTATAAACACTTATACACATATAAACCCTTCATCATCTCCACAAATCAGCGTAATGTAGAAGTGTTAAACTCACATGCAGAAGTACAGACGCTCTTGTGCCGCAGGAACACGATGTAAGTTCTTTGACGCTTTCGGTTTGTCAACTTCTTCAGTATTTTGGCGGTTGTCAAACTATAATGTGCTTTACCACCACCTGCTGGACTGGCTGAATCTAACATGGAGAGAGACACGGGGAAAATCACACCATAAATTCAAGGGAAATAAATCGCTGATTAAACAAAGAAATCCGGTTAAAATTGTAAATTCTTTCTTACAGACCAGATTCTTTCAGACATGAATTATTGTAGCTTCCATATGCTGAATCTAGTATATTTTTCAGAGTAAATGTAAGATTATATCTAATAAATACTTTATTTTATATTTGTCTTTTGTATTGATAATCTTGACATTCTGTTATTACATGCTGCAATTGCTTTATGTTGGTTACAATGTGAGTATAAATCATGTGTGTGCTTCACTATAAACAGTGTCTTGTTTAGTCCTGTATGTGCTATTCTGAAGAGGTTATGATCATTTCCTCACTCCGATCATTCCCCATTTCTCTTCCTTCACAGATTTACCGTTGGATTGTATACAGATGTCTTCCTGAGTCATATCCCAGTGTTCCTGCCTTATACTCTCTGTCTGCATCTTTATTATAGTTTTGACTTCAGCTTCACTTAATTTACCCTGAAGGTCTGTGTGTGAATGTGTTTGTGCATGGTTGTTTCCTAGTACTGGGTTGCGGCTGGACGGGCATCCACTGTGTAAAACATATGCTGGAATAGTTGGCAGTTCATTCTGCTGTGGCGGAATACTAATGTATCCCTATTAACATTTATTCCTTATGTATTTTCTAAGCTTCTCTTCATGTCCATTATTATTTACATATTTAATCAATTTCCTCCTCTCTTGCATATATGTCCTTAACCTAAACATGTTCTCTAGAACTCTACAGTCTCCACATTAATCATGTTCCTGAACTCCATTAATGTCAGTGTTGAGTTTAGTCGAGTGTGTTCTCACCTCTGTCTAGTTTACATCACTTCCTCCTCTCTGTTTCTCACACACACACGTTTATTTGTCTCCACTAATATTTTAATGTCATATAAATGCTGTCTCTTCTTATCTTCATCCTAAACTCCTCATCATTCTGTCTTAATATTTCCCTTGATAACAGATTTATTTCAGCTTTTCCTCCATCATCTGTCTTCCTCCTCTTCATCGTCTCCTGTGCAGATTGATCAGCAGTCTGATGTCCATGTGTTCCTCTATGTGCAGGTCTCCAGCAGAACTCAACCGTCCCTCTTTCTGATATGGACCATACAGAAGTGTGAACAGCTCATGTGTTAAACCTCCTCTAGATGACCTGCGGCTGATTAAAGATGTTCAACTGAGGCTGAGTCTGAACACTGCCCCAGGGTGAGCGCTGGGATGGCAAAATAAAAGTAAAGGAGGTCACATTTAATATATTTACATTTATGCTTATAAGATTTCTGATAAGGTGACGCAGTGGTGCAGTAGGTAGTGTTGTCGCCTAACAGCAAGAAGCTCGCTGATTCGAGCCTCAGCTGGGTCAGTTGGCGTTTCTGTGCGTTCTCCCTGCGTTTGCATGGGTTTCCTCTGGGTGCTCCGGTTACCCACACAGTGTGCATAACAGGTGAATTGGGTAGGCTAAATTTTCCATAGTTTATGAGTGCGTAAAAATGTGCTGGATAAGTTGGCGGTTCATTCCGCTGTGGCGACCCCAGATTAATAAAGGGACTAAGCCGAACAGAAAATGAATGAATGAATAATAAAAATATATTCCAGCTTCATTAGATCTCTGAGTCGACTGCACATTTCTTGAATTTCTAAACTGAATTGAGATCGGGTGTCAGCTGATGTGTTCTGGACATTTTCCTTGCTCCACTTCAGAAAGCCGCCACTAAACCCCGAACCAGAACTGTTGGTTGCAGTTTGTTGCCATTATAAAGCTCAGAACTGTCAGTGTTTAAAGCTCATTGTATTAATCTAACAGAAAATGTAAAAACACTTTCATAAATAACATTTTCATTAAATAAATACATTATAAACACATTAAACTGAAAGAGCATGGAGTAATGTTTCAGAAGGAAGAGCACACCGCTGACTCCGCTTATTTTGATGGGCTTCATGCTGAAGTAGTTCAATCGACATGCACAGTAAACTGCATCTGGACACACATTGGCTGGACAGAAAGCACCAAGGCCTTAAATAAAAACTAATAAAATCTACTTTCAGGGGAAGCTCGCTCGTACAAAAAGTGTAGAATGATGCTGAGTCGTCAAGAAAAGTCACAAAAGAGCTGAAGCCAACTGAGCAGAACACAGAACTGGGGGGTCAAGGCTATTGCTCTCACGGACAGAGCCCATTTATGTACTGTATGTCAACGGAAGTGCCGGCCGCTTGTGCTTTCACTTCAGTTAATAGTTGTTTATTTCTCTCAGTCCTGGAAGTCCTGCTTTAAGTTTGTGGCATTCTGTTCAGTTTTATCTGTGAGGACAGAAGTAAGACAGGTACTCAGTCTTCTACCAGAGTCATTGTGTTTGAACTAGACTGGCTCATCACTAATGCATGAAGCACATCTGACTCCATGTGTTTCTGAAAGGGTTCAAATAAATTCAACCCAACGCAGAAAACATTTACACAGTGATGTAGCCCTGATCAGTGAGGCCTGCTGGCCATGTTAGTGAATGTAAACTAAACACTGCATTTGTCCCAGCCCTCGCCTCTTGGATGTCTTGAAGCAGTAAGTGAATGAGGTTATAAGAGATTCACATGTGATTTAACAGTCAGAGGAATGATTGTGGAGCTGTGGAGCATTATTTACACATGCATAAATGAGTGGTGGGAAAGAAGAAGAACTGGGAGAACTTTCAACATTTCTGTCACAAACCAAAGCTATCTGTCATGTCCCTGAGGCACTTCTCTGAAATTGCATGAAGAAACAAATTAATCAAATGCACACAGTGTCTATATTTTTTTCAGTATTACAACTATTTATTCGAGTTCTTTTCTTGTGATAATAAAAAGATAAATAAAAAACAAGATTTTTTTAAAATAAAAAAACATGCTACAAAGTTACATCCCTCAGTATAAACTTAACCCTATTACACTAGCATTGTTCCATCTATAGCAATTTATATGTATTATTACATCACAGACAGGAAGTGACATCATTCAGCTCTCTTTAACAGCACGGTGCAAAAGAAGGTGAGAAATATTTTCAATAATTTACATTTTTTGAGGTATATTATGGTTAGGAAGGGTACGGTCAAGCTTAACAATTCAACCCTGTAACGTAAAACTAAGATGGAGTATGATTGTTTTCTTAATGTCCAAACAATATGACATATTCTAGTTTAACTGCTGCCTTGTGGACCTCTTTTAAACCACACGAGGAGCAGCGGCCATTTTGTTTCAGTAGCTCAACCCCATCACACTCGACCCCGTCACTCATCTCATTGTTTCAGGGTTGTAAACTTGTAACAGGATTGAGATTTTCTCCTAATTTATCAAGAACAATTCAGTAAATATATACTGACTATAACTTTATTTATCACTGAGAGAATATCTGAAGCAGTGTTTCCACTAAAACTGTGACACAATCTTATTTCAGACATGGCGCCCGTATCAGCAGCAGATTTTATATTGAATGTGTCACGAGTTTCATCAGGAGTTAAAGCTGATCAAATCAGAACATGTGCAGTAAAAAAAGACTTTAATTATGTAAACAGTTCATTTGCTCATCTCTATGTCATGTGACAATTAGCCAACGTTAGAGAGGGGGTCATTAAGGGCAGAATTCATCTTGATATTAGAGATAAAGAGGCTTCAGCTGTCAAAAGGTTGAGGAATATCTGGTGGTCTTCTGCTGCTGTAGCCCATCCGCCTCAAGGTTGGACGTGTTGTGTGTTCAGAGATGCTCTTCTGCAGAGCTCGGTTGTATCGAGTGCTTATTTGAGTTACTGTTGCCTTTCTATCAGCTGGAACCAGTCTGGCCATTCTCCTCTGACCGCATCAACAAGGCATCTGCGCCCACAGAACTGCCGCTCACTGGATATTTCCTCCCCTAGAGATGGTTGTGCATGAAAATCCCAGTAGATCAGCAGTTTCTGAAATACTCAGAGCACAGAGCAGCCCGTCTGGCTGTATAATTGTATTATTATCATTAAGCATTTTCATTAAGAAGACTGTTTTCTGCTGCAGTTTTTCTTGATGTTCCAGGAAATAAAGGTTTAGTCATGATGTAGCTGTTGCTGCTGTTCACTGCAGGTTCTGTTCAGCAGTATATTTGGGAACACAGGCCTTTATCAGCATTTGTAAAGGTTACTAACGCTCCAGTTACCTGCAGCACTTCACTGTTCTGAATTCTGACTGTAGTTTGGTTTAATGAAGTTTAATGAAGTAAAGAAGTGTTTTGGTTTAGTCTAGATTTAATTTCACATGAATTAAAACAAATTAACATTGAAATGAAAAT